CCGATCAATGAATCTCTTTCATCATTGATGTTTCTACCTCTCTCTCTCTTCCTCTCTGAAACCAATAAAAATATATTAAAAAATATAAAGTAAAATAAAATATAAACACTTCATCCCACCCAATTGGAGTTTTAAAGCAAGCAGTGGAAATACTGGTTCAGGGCTCAGAAAAGATACTTGACCTGGAGATATATAATTACGCGAGTCACCTGCAAAAAGTGGTCATTGAAGTCATGGACATGATTGACATCACCTAGGAGGGAAACTAACTATCTATTTTTAATCCTTCTCCTACAAATAAGCTCTCTAGCTCTTTGGGAGCAGTTTTGCTAGGTGCAGTGTCCAAAGGTCTTACACAATCATAGTTCCACTGTTAAGTAACAATAGGTTTGTACTGTTGTAGAATATGCCAAAATATTCCACAAAAATGCTTAAGAGATTGAAAAGATAACAGGTTTCAGAGATAACAAATGGAGGTAAATTCTAGTTTCACTACTTCTTAAATAATGTAACTTTTTTTTTCTGTTTGGTTAATCCTCAACCAAGGATACTCTTCTATTGCTTTTAGATATAGTAGAAGGGGGGAAAGGAGGAAGGGAGAGGGAAAGAGAGGGAGAAAAAGAGAGAGAAACATCCATGTGGGTGGGGATCGGGATAGAAGCTGCAGCCCAGGTACATGCCTTTGACTGAGAACTGAACCCTCGACCCGTCAGTGTGCAAGCTGGTGCTCTAACCATTGAGCAACAATTGCCAGGGTGATAAACTTTAAAAAATATATATGTATTTGTTGATTTCAGAGAGAGGGAGGGAGGGAGAGAGAGATAGAAACAATGATGAGAGAATCATACTAGTACATGGGCTGCTCTCTCACGCCCCCTACGGGGGATCCAGCCAGCAACCCAGGCACATGCCTGATGGGGAATCAAACCATAACCTCCTGGTCCATGGATCGATATTCAACCACTGGGCCACACCAGCCAGGCTAATGTAACTTTTTTTGATCCTCAGTTTCCTTTTTTGTAAAAGAATTCAAAGAAATAGTATTGCCTCAAAGAGTTATTATGAAGAGTTAAGGTTAATGCTGTCAAGTGCCTAGCACAGTGCACTGTGTGGGACACAAAGAAGACCATCATGACTGGGAGGTCTTTCAGTACTTTAATTATATAGTAGGCAATGCATAAATTTTATTATCCTGATCTTTTTTATAAAGCATATAACAATAGTATGCATTTCATTAAGGAAGACTAAAGTTATTCACCCATAGGAAGCTTGCATATTAATCTACATATTAATCTCAACTATTCTCACCAGACCCTTTCTGAGTCCCCATTAACATTTATACAGTCATATGGTTTTACAAAATTGTATTCTGTGACTTCCACTTCAAATTAGACACTTCAACAACACAGTAATTATTCAAACATTTTTAAGAATTCCTCTTTAAGGAAGGGTTTTCAGAACATACACCTCCTGTGTCATAGACATTAGTGACTGAGTGAATGCTGATCTTTTGGGGATGATCATGTGAGAATAACTAGGCCTAACGGTGCCAATAAAGTTATCTAACATCCTTAGATGCATTTTTCATGGGCATTGAAAATATTGTGTTATTTTCCTTATGAGTGACAAATAATCATTTTTATTACAAAATGTGTATTTTTTTTGTTTGTTTTTGAGAAAGCCAAAAGTCGTTTTATGCTGTTGCTGCTGAATAAGGTGGTTTAAAATAATGCCAGGCCATTTGGGGGTGGGGGACAAAAATAAAAAATACAACAATAACAAGTGAGATTTAAATATTAAGAAATAAAATGTTCTTTTATGACCTATAAGCGGGCTCTGAAGGTCATTTTGAATTGTTTGGGGTTAATAGCCTCCGGGGGTGTCTACTTTGCCTTAAAAAACATTTTTTTTAGCTTTTTTTTAAAGGGTGTCTACTTTGAAAGACAACATTCACGTACGTATAAATTTGATTTTAAAATATGAGTTTCCTTCTTTATTCACAGGCGGGATACATATGATCGCATTTTACATACATGATTTCCTATGCTCAAAACAAGGAAAGTAGAAACGCAAAGAAAGGTCTGGCAGTAAATACCTTTCTTTGGTTCTTGAGCCAGTCTTCCAGCATTGCATATCAGTATTTTGCCCACTTTTCTGACAAATGTATTTTGCTAAATACTTTTTTGGACTGTCTCCTTTAACACGAAATGGCCTAGTCTGGATAAACTCTGATGTAAATATCATATAACAGTTTAATGAAATAATACTTCAAGAAGTATTTGTTATTCCAATGAGGGAATAACAAATATTTCTATTGATTTCAGAGAGGGAGAGAGAGATAGAAACATCAATGATGAGAGAGAATCATTGATCGGCTGCCTCCTGCATGTCCCTTACTAGGGATCAAACCCGCAACCTGGGCATGTGCCCTTGACCAGAATCGTACCGGGACCCTTCAGTCCGCAAGCCAGTGCTCTATCCACTGAGCCAAACTGGCTAGGGCTGAAACAATACTTGTAATTTGTGCGATGCAATCTGCTGTTTTCTTCCCGGTGGTATTTTATTTCCCGACCTCCACATTGACTTCACGTCCCGCCTATGGGTCGCGCCCCAGAGTTTGAAACAAACCTGTGAAAGAGAGCGTCTCCCTGCCGGCCTTCAGGGTTAGCGCACCCCCGACCCATCCTTTTTTAGGACCAGCCAGCTTCCCGCGCGCCGCTTTGGTAACCTAGCAACCCAGCAGCATTTGCAGACACTTCCGGAACCTCAGGCGGGAGTTGTCCAATCGGCTCTGCAGAGTCGCCGCAAAGGCTGACGGGGCGCTGGAGCTGGGCGCCAGCA